AAGAGTGTTTTGGGTTATTAGTCCTAAAGGCCGATACTGAACAACGTGAAACATCTTCCTCTGCTGTTTTTTCAAGTCAACTTGACAATCCACTCAACTGTTTCAAAAAAATAATAATAATTAGTCCTTCAGCAAACAGCTAGAAGAAAACTAAAGAATATGAAATTCAGAAGAGCAAGAATTAGAACATAAATCCAATTATAACTTTCTCAGTGCTAAAGAGGTAAATATTTTTTCCAAAGGTTATTTATTCCACTCCCCTCCATAATTCCAGCTAAGTTCCCATGGACAAATCTGACTTCTCACAGTCCATCTCCTGAGGGTAAACAAGGACCCATCAAACCTAACGTTACAATACTATTTGCAAATAATATAGTACATAAGCATTCAGAACCAGTTGGTTTTGCCTATAAAATGCCAACTTTTATGTACACATTTACAAATAAAGAAGCTTGATCAAATTATTTTCTGGTAATCACCATGTTAACAAAATCTGTATTCATCCACTCCCTTAAGATATCTTTAACTTGGATTTCTTATATTTTCTTTCTAGAAATCAAATACAAGAACCATTTAAATACACAGAAAACTCACAGACTGTTGCGCAACAGCAAGGCTGGCAAAGTTGCATCCAGTTCTCTTCTAAAAAGATGGGAGACCAAGCAAATGATACTTGAAGTACTCCTATAATGGAATTCTACTTGATGCAGTTTGTGTAAAATAAGGGAGAGAGAGAGAGAAAGAGAGAGACAGAGAAAAAGAACATCACGAAGACATTCTATGCTCAAAATAAATCACTAGGAAAGCAGAATCTCCAAAATAGACGAAGAAAGAAGTTCTCAACAACATGTTATTTTCTTTGCTTAGGGAAATTGATACCAGTAAGTATCAACAGGAACCGCAGAATAAGAACCACGTGTGGTGTTTAGGAGTGAGGAGGAAGACCCTCAAAAAACCTGCACAGAAGAAAAACAGCACAAACTTGCATAAAAAGCTCTACAGAGTTATTTTTTCATTTTAGGAAGGCAAACAAGTGTCATGCTGTTATTTCTCCATTGATCATGTCTAAAAATGCTTAGAGAAAACCAATACGGAACTTTCTTTTAGGAAACTAATGAAATTTTGGACATACAAATCCAGGAGTGCAATTACTTAGTGATTACTTACCAATCCTTAAAAAGAGAGGGGAGGGGAAGCTAAGCGCGTGTACAAAATACATAAAAATCACTGTGTATTTTTTGAAGGTTACTTTTAGTTGCTATACTATGCAGGATTGAAAGAGATGGGTGACTGAGCTGCAAATTGTACAATTTTTTTTCTAGCACCATAACACACAACTAGAATTGCAATCAGCAATTTCTAATAACTAGATTTTAAAAATTCAGTCTAGCTCTTGATAATCCGGGTATTTGCTTAGCACTACTTATTAAAATACTTTCTTTAGTTTACATACAGGTTACTTTCACCAGTGAAACGATTTTTAATGAGATGTTTCACCACGTTAATCTCGACAGACCACACAGAACGATTCAAGAAATTTACTATAGAGTGAGATTCCAAATCCTTCAACCATTCCAATAGCTTTTCTCTAGACCCTCTCCAGTTTCAACAGCTTTTTAGAACTATGTAGAGCAAAAGCAGTCTAGCATTTCAGTAGAAGAAAGGTGAGCACCAAACAGGAACTGCATTATCTTCCAAAGACCTGCTCATGAATTATCCATGTTTACGATCATCACAGCAGTCCTTTAAGACCCTACTGCTCCCCAGAGTACATAGCAGCAAATGACTCCAGGGACAAAGGTCACTCAAGCTTCAAAAATAACATGGAGGCTCACATTTACATTTGTAAGAGGCTGCCATGAAAATAAAGACTTTTCAGTTCCAGTTCCGTATGCTCCTTGCTCTAGATCCTACTCTATGTTCCTAGATGTCTTTTATACTCCACATTCATTATCAGACTATTAGTATACGCTGCAAAGCCAAAGAGCTTTTGATTTTTTAAATCTTTCCGTTCACTCATTTCTACATGGAGAGACATTTTTGCAAAGGGTAAGCCCCTTAAATTGAATTCTATTTCATGTTGATTGTCAGTTACACCCAATACTGTGATTTAATGCAGACACTACAATTACAAGGCATAGATCAAACTACAACAGGCATACCGTAGTTTCTTCCAGTTCTGGTAGTGTATAAGCGAATGCTCATGTTTAGAAGCAATATAATGGTTACTTAAAAAACAAAATCTGTGAAAAGCAGTTATAATATTCAGTATCATTATAAAGCTGTACTGTATGACAACGTACTGTAGGGAACACATACACAGAGTATAGAGTCAGTAAAAGGTATTTTATTAACCTGATAGATGTGAGTTTATGCTCAGGGTTCAAAACATTTAGGGATAGTATTTTAGTTATTTTATTTCTTGATCAGATGCATCACTTGGTACCTTACATATGATGTAAGGGAGCCCATACCACACTCAGCTTTGTGGCCTACATGTCTAACTGTACTACAGATTCACTTTGAGGAGCAAGAACTAAGTATGTGCTGTAGAGCTACATGATTTAACATCTAGATTGCTTTATGGACCTAGGCTATAGGGACTTACCCCTAAAAGGGAAAGGGACTGATGAAAGGGATTAGACTTTGATTTATCTAGTTATAGGTTTACCATGCATACATAAAGTTGCAACTGGTCTATGGTATTTTCTGATATCAAATGAGCTGGTCTGGTGCAAAAATTTGCAGGAAACTTCTTTATCCAGCTACTCAGTTGGTTTAACCTATGTCAGTGTAGTCCAGTTTTGCACCCATGTAAAGTACATATGCATACAAGCTTGCAGCAGTCAAACGCAACTGCTTTTGAAATTAGATTTTTATTCAGTTGGCAAAACTTTACTCTAAAAAAAGACTTGAACTAGACTTTATCCACAGTAGAGCATGCCAGTCTAGTTATACCAACAATCCAACCTAGTTTAGATAGAGCTAATTCTGTCAAAATTTTTTTTTTTTTCTTGAAGCAGAGCTTACATTCCTACCTCCAGTGGAGTAATAAGCTTTGACAACACATCTTTACCCTCCACTTGGACTCTCAACAGCAGCATCATTAGAAAATATCCCTATTTTTAATAACCATCACTGATGCCAAGAGTTCTAGCAAACAGTGGCTTTAGTTCCTGGTGACTTGAGACAAATTCCAAATATGAAGTTTACATATGCATACTGTATGGTTAAAATTCAGTAACCAAGCAAGTCAGCAGCAGTTCACAGCTCTCAAAGACCTCAGATACAAGATGGGCAGTTGCCATACATCACCTGTGCCTTTTTGTCAAGCAGAAGTTGTGCCCTGTGTCTTTTCTCACAGCTTTTATGCAGAGAAAAAAAATCTCAAAGTAACCATTCAACTTCGACCACTCCATGATCATCCCACAGATCAAGTTTCTGAAAAGGTGTTGAAAAATCACCCATGTTTTGAGGAAATGGGTCTCCTCATCCCCTCAAAAAGCACTGCTGCATAACAGGTCTAGAAGTTTGGCTGCAACAGCAGAGAAGTGAGCACAGCAGTCACAACCCGTGAAGGGGGGAGGAATTACTTACAAACTGTATTAGCAGATCTTAACTGCCACAGACCCCTGTGGGAGTCAGACACCGCGCAGAGTTTTCCCAAAAGACCTTTAGGTGTTGAAATAGTTTTAGGAGTCTTGCGCACTGCCAGGAAAGTGTCAAGCTCATTTCCGGGCACTGCTACGTCTGTAAAGCAAAAAA